TTGGAAGGACACCTTTTCCCAACAGCAATTTTAAGATCTCTCCACAGGTGTTCAATGGGATTTAGATCTGGGCTCATTGCTGGCCACTTCAGAACTCTCCAGCGCTTCTTTGCCATCCATTTCTGAGTGCTTTTTGACGTATGTTTGGGGTCATTGTCCTGCTGGAAGACCCAGGATCTTGGACGCAAACCCAGCTTTCTGACACTGGGCCCTACAGTGCGACCCAAAATCCTTTGGTAATCCTCAGATTTCATGATGCCTTGCACACAGTCAAGGCACCCAGTGCCAGAGGCAGCAAAACAACCCCAAAACATCATTGAACCTCCACCATATTTTACCGTAGGTACTGTGTTTTGTTCTTTGTAGGCCTCATTCCGTTTTCGGTAAACAGTAGAATGATGTGCTTTACCGAAAAGCTCTATCTTGGTCTCATCTGTCCACAAGACGTTTTCCCAGAAGGCTTTTGGCTTACTCAAGTACATTTTGGCAAACTGTAGTCTTGCTTTTTTATGTCTCTGTGTCAGCAGTGGGGTCCTCCTGGGTCTCCTGCCATAGCGTTTCATTTCATTTAAATGTCGACGGATAGTTCGCGCTGACACTGATGCTCCCTGAGCCTGCAGGACAGCTTGAATGTCTTTGGAAACATGTTTGGGGCTGCTTATCCACCATCCGGACTATTCTGCGTTGCAATCTTTCATCAATTTTCCTCATCCGTCCACGACCAGGGAGATTAGCTACAGTGCCATGGGTTGCAAAACTTCTTGATATATGTTGCGCACTGTGGACAAAGGCAAATCTAGTTCTCTGGAGATGGACTTGTAACCTTGAGATTGTTGATATTTGCCACAATTTTGGTTCTCAGGTCCTCAGACAGTTCTCGTCTCCTCTTTCTGTTGTCCATGCTTAGTGTGGCACAGACAGACACACAATGCAAAGGTTAAGTGAACGTCTCTCCTTTTTATCTGCTTTCAGGTGTGATTTCTATATTGCCCACACCTGTTACTTGCCCCAGGTGAGTTTACAGGAGCATCACATGCTTGTAACATTCTTATTTATCCGCAGTTGTGAAAGGGTGCCAATACTTTTGTCCAGCCCATTTTTGGAGGTTTGTGTGACATTATGTCGAATTTGCTTTCTTTCCTCCCTTTTTTTGTTTTGTCCCAATACACACAAAGGGAATAAACATGTGTATAGCAAAACATGTGTTAATGCAATACGTTTCGTGAGAAATACATGATTTCCTGGAGAAATATCAAGGGTGCCAACAATTTCGGCCATGACTGTAATATGGTTGCTTGGTGTGTTGCTGTACGCTGCATTTCATTACCCTTTGTGAAGTCTTAATAAACAATGTCGATTTTGACAGGTGTAAGCAGAGGCATTAGTTGAAGTGTGTGGACCCTGATGCAAAAGTTAACCTGCCCCCCCAAAACTACCACCCACTGCTTCCACCGCACGCCAAGATACTTCTGCTGCTGGCTGCACATGCACACAAGATGGGGGCAAGCTAGCGATACTCCGAGCTGCTGGGTGAAAGCAGCGGGCATCTATGAAAAAAAGGAAACTTAGAGAGCCTGGCCTGGGCTCCTGAGTGTGAAAAAATGAGGCAGGGTTGTAACAGCGCAAACACTGCAAAGTCCTGGGAAATGGTAGTATGGGGTGATCGTGGTATTAGTGGCTACTGTATGAAGAGCGTAGGATTCCATGTGGCACTGAGGGCAAGGCTTCCAAATAAGCTGTAGCAACCTCTGTAGATGAGAAAAGGAGAGAAGTGCCTCTAAGTGCAATAAGTCTTTTTATTCAAGTCTAAATGTAGAAAACACTCACATGTGTGAAGTAATCATAAGCTTAAAAACCGTGGTTAACAATAGTTAACGGTGGGGTGGTAACCCGGGTGAAGAGCCGTCATCTTACTGCGATGTGGGGAGGTCAGCTCTCGGCTGGAACAGCGTGGTGGCTGGAGGGGAACAGCGGTGAGGCCAGCCGGCGTGCACGTCCTCCCTCAGAGCCGGATGGAACGCACGCTGGAACGTAGCGGCGGCGTGGCCGTGATGATGTCAGATCCCAGGGTGCACTGCGACACATTTCGGAGCATGCACTGGCCGTGGAAGGCAGAAGTGCGCTCCTTTTTGCGCTCCTGAGTGTGCCTTCTGACTTCCATATTCACTTACAAGCCCACCGCTTTCAACCGTCAGGTCAGAGTGTGGCCAGCCTGCCCCCACTGTATGCACATACATAGTTGAGCAGGGCAGAGACGCTGAGCAGAAAGTGCACCCACCGCTGAGAAAAAGAGTTTACCTGTAACCCTGTGTAGGTGAAACTGGGAACTCAGAGGGCCTGGTACGGGCCTGGGTGGGCCCCACCAAGTGTGTACAGCCACCTTTACTAGCTGCACATTCTAACCTTACTTTTGCTAGCCTGCTACTCCAAACAGCCAACAGAAGTGAAGAGGGTATCCTTGTGTAAGATCCCAGTCGCAGCTTGTAGCCTAATCTAGGCTGACAACTTTCACCATGACCCATAAAACAATGATGGGCACCTGAAAAGCCCATCACAAAGCGCCTGCAATGCCATGCAGGAGCAAGGGGAGTGATCTGCATGCACCACATAATTAGAAGCACCATGCATTTCACTTCATCCTTTGCATCTAAACAATGTGATAGGGTAACAAAGGAAATGAGAATATGTGCAGCTGGGGAGGGAAGTAGTTATGTAAACATGTTATCTTTGCATAAGCAAAGTTTGGATACACTTTAACTTGTGGAAGGAATAAAAGCCCAAGTGTGGATCCATTAAGTTGCTGGAAGTCATTGACAGTTGATGATTCCAGCATAAGCAACTGCAGGAAAATTAGGGAAATATAAAGTCAACAAGGGGCAAAATGAAAGTGGTCGTAAACCTCTGAAATTAATCATGAACAAAGCATATCTTTTCATAGCGTGTACTTGCCTCTATCCAAGGCACCAAGTGTCATTCTCCCTGCTGTCTCCTTCCTCTGCTATCTGCATGAATCACTTCTAATAGGTTGTGTCAACAGCAGACACACAGAAGTTGATTGACAGTCTCAGCTGTCCATGTTCCTATAGGGGGTCTATCCATGACCTCCACTCAGGTCTTAGATTACACTGAGCTCTCCTCACTATGCTGTGCAGTGTGTGACATCAGATTCCTACCCCCTGCCTTCTGCAGCTCAGATAAAGCATTTGATCAGTGCATTTTAGAAGGCTTTAGAGGGTGCAGGGCTGCAGTTGAACAGGTAAAACTTATGTAGGAGGAGCTGTTTTATCTGTGTGTATCACTAGAGGTAATTCACATCCACTTTAAGGTGGTTTTTGTGGTTTTTCTGGTGCAGTGGATTTTAATTGGTTTCTGAGACATATAGAAGCCTCTTTCAACTATCATGTACCTGCTCTTTTGCAAAAAAACAATAAAACAGACAGTAAAAAAAAGAGTACAAAAAGTAAAACGACAGGACATAAATAATGATCAAATGTGCACATAAAAAAGAAAAACACACAAATTCAAAGACAATTAAATAGATATAAACTAAACTACCTTAATTACATACCCACAAAAATAAAGAAATATTTTTCAAGTAATTTTTTTGGCTCAATGAAAGAAATCGAGTTTTGGTTTCAGCAAATTTTTTTTAGACAGCAAATTAGGCCATACTGCTGATTTTTAAATTGGCACCCAATGTATTTTCTCATGTTATGTAACTATCAGGCTTAATAAGAATGGCAATGTTGAAGTGTAGTAAACTATAACATGCATTCAAAAATATTTTGTAATCCCTATGACTGCTCCAAAGCAATTGAACATCATTACTGCTGTTTTCATAGACATTTAAGTATAGGTCTTATTAATTAACCTTGATGGCTTATACAGCAAAGACATAACAACAATCTTTTTATGGCTACAAATAAGCTACATGTTGAAAATTTGTTAAATATTTGAAAATGCTGTTTTGCACTATATTTTGTCCTGGAGGCACAGGTGTGGAAGATGTTGTGCTCCTGTCATGTTAAGCCTGTAACAATGTTCTGTTTGTTTGATCTTGCTTGGCTCAGGCTTGCGCTAAATCCAGAGATGATTTCTAAGCATCCACTGTGCTCCTTCTATTTCTTCATCATGAAAAGTTCTATTGTGCATGAAGACATCTGGAGTGGGGACTCGAGCACTGTCCAAATGCAAGATTTAAAGGTTATGTCCAGAAGTGTTAGCTGTTTAAAGTCAGATAAACAGTCAATTTCAACAGAGGGATCAGTAACCCCAACATATCAAGGCTGACAGTGGGCTGGACTGTTGTGCTCAAGAAGTTTGTATTGAATTGATGTATTCTGTCACTCATTGCAATGACAGTTTGCCAGATTCATATTCTGTCAATGTTACAATCTCTGTGAGGTCACTTAAATGAAATCTCCTCTTAGAGAAACACGCAATCCACCATGTTTGATCTCTCTGATAATGCTAGTTGCCTGTTTGTCATACTGATCCTTTTACTTTGGGTCACTATCCTTTACCCTCCCTAGCGGTATGATTATTTCTGATTTTTGATGCTGAAAGCGGTACCATTATTTTGCATGGAAATATGTAGTTTTTTTATTGTAGGCTGTAATTTTTAGGAATAACTCACTGATCTCTGTCCGAACAAGAGTCTATTAAACATCCCGGGTATGATAAAATTTGAAACACGAAATCATAAATTATAATTTAATAAATAATCATAAAAAAATAATAATATAATAATAATACATTTATTTCAATAATATAATCAAACCGAAAACACTGAAATTTGAAATATAGCGCCATGTTCGTACATTGCTGAACAAAGTCGCAAAATCGTTTTCAGTGTCTGATGAGGAATTTCCCCACGAATCATTATCACTCAATTCTGCAAGTGGTTCTGATTTACTATCGCTGTTCTCTAGCTGATCTAAACCCGCTTTTGACCTAAAGGGACACTTTTTGGACGCCATGGACGTTTCTCAGTTTCCAGGCAGAAAGAACAGACAAAATGCAGGCGGGGCACAGGATAAAGCACTCGGGACAATATGTATGTGAAATGGGTTGAAACAGCAATGTTTTACTATGAAAAATGTGTTTTGAAAAAAATGAAATTTTTTTACATTTTCAAATTTCCCGCCACCGGCGGCGCCCGTACGTCCCGACGTCACAGGGACTGGAACACAGAAGCCGGATGCCGGCATCGGCCGGAGGAGATGGCCGGGGACGCTGCAGGGGACACATCGCGGGAGCAAAGGACAAGGTAAGCTCTGCAGGGACTCCCTATGCAGCGCCGCATGGTAAGCCCGAGTGTAGCTCGGGGTTACTGCTTTTGGCACTGACATTTTACCCCGAGCTACACTCGGGAATACCGCCAGGGAGGTTAATAGGTACACAGAAACAGGACACACAAATTTTCTCTATCTTTTCTGATCCACATACTGTACATCAGGGGTAGGCAACCTAAAGAGGTGAAGTTCTACCTGAACAACAAAGGAGAAGTCAAAGATCACCGGGCGTGGTGTTGCCTCCTTGCACTTGATTTTAAACCTACCGTGTCACAATCGTGTGCATTGCACAGCAACCATGTTTGAATTAAGTGGTGAGGAGATAAAATATCGCCTCCTTGCCACCTGTCAAACACACTCAGATCACTATTCAGTGGAGCAGTAGTGCCTTGTGAATGAGCCCTTGCCTGCCAATCGCAACCCATTCAAGTAAATGAGGTCACTCTGCAAGTTGCCTGCAACTGTATGCTTCTGCGGGGTCCAAGGGGTCAAAGTAGGTGGTGAGAAAGCAACACAACGCTGCCTGCTTTATCCCCTTGTTTTCTGTACTGCACAAGGTTGCAACGCTCTTGCAGAGTGGCCTCATTCACTTGAATGGTTCATGCTTAGCACAGCAACCCCACAGGGAATCTGCAGGTACACTGCACTGCACCTGTAGTGTGGGTAAACCGCAGCTCATCAGTGTGAAAGCATCCCTTTACTGTTATGCCCAGTGTGTTGCTTCCCACTGACATGAAGATCTCTTGCTGTGGCACCACTCTTGAGGCTGACAGCCAGGATAAGAGGTGGAGTGCAGTTGGTATCACACAGCATGGGAGAGGAGCCGGCACTACACTGGAGGCATTGGCTTATGTGGCTCTTGCTCCCTACTACAGCTCCAACTTTACAAGTAGTCCCTCTGCATTGCATTCTGTTTGATGCTCTGGGATGGTGGGTGGGCAAGGCAAGACGACCGCAATCTAACAGTCATCTGGCCTCAATCTACTGGTTGCTGACTCTCACTGTAAATGTTCCAGGTCAGTGTCTCAGAAAGAATAATCACCAAGCAACTAACACTTATGGAAAGAGATCGGGAATGGTGACCCTTGTATTTTTTTTTTAGTGGAGGTTAATTTTAAAAGACTAACAAGAAGTGATGCTTTAATTTAAAGTGATTCTAAAGGAAAGAATTAAAAAAAATATATATATTGTTATATATATATATATATATATATATATATATATATAACAAAATATAAAAATATAACACAGAGCACTTGCTCAGCCCCACTCCCTGCTCTCTCCTCATTGGCTTATTGGCTTTGACAGACAGTAGCAGGAGCCAATGGCTCCTGCTGCTGTGTGAGCCAATGAGGAGAGAGAGAGACCTGGGAGAGACACTGTTCTGATGCACACTGCTGGATCGCAATGGGGCTCAGGTAAGTATAAGGGGAGGTGAGTTGCATGCAGAAGGTTTTTTTTTACCTTTCTGCATAGAATGCATGAAGGTAAAAAAAACCTTGAGCATTTAGAACCACTTTAACAAAGGCAGACATTTCTACCCTTGTTGGTTATCTGCATATTGGACATTATTTAAAGCTCAATTCCAGGACACTAGTAGCCCCATTTATAACTGCTGGTATGAAAAAAACCTTAACCAACCATTTTACCTACCTGAAGCTGTGGTCACATGACATCACCAGCCTGATCCTACTCTTTTCTTCTGTTTACTTCCAGTGGTCCTGGTTTCTGAATGATGCTGACATCTCCTAGTTTTGGAAATGGTACTTCCTCTCTTTTAGGCTCCAGAGGCAGGGGAACTCACAGGGGCAGTGGTGCCTAAGAAGATAACGAGTGGGGACAAATGTCTGGTTCCCAAGGCAAGATATTTGCCTAGCTCATAGACGATACTGTGACTTTGATCCATTACATTGCGGGATTGCTTAGGAAAAGGTTTTGGAATCTAGACTGAGGAGTAAAGTAGATGATGCACAATGCACTATTTAAATTATTATTATACAGGATTTATATAGCGCCAACAGTTTGCGCAGCGCTTTAAATATAAGGGTTACAGTACAATTACAATACTTTCAGTACAGAAAGAATGTGAGGGCCCTGCTCGTGGAGCTTACAATCTAATTTAAATGTAATTTTTGCCTGGAGTTGAACTTTAAAGAGAACCTGTCAATAAGGTATGGAAGCTGATGTGTCCTACTGGAGTTTGACAGTCAGGGAACAGCTCTACTTCCAGCAACTTAATGGATCCACTCTTGGGTTTTTATTCCTTCCACAAGTTAAAGGGAATCCAAACTTTGCTTATGGAAGTATAACAGGTTTACGTAACTTCTTCCTTCCCCAGCTGCACATACTTTCCTTTGTTACCCTACCACACTGTTAAGATGCACAGGATGAAGTGAAATGCATGGTACTTCTAATTATGTGGAGCATGCTGTCAGGGATGCGGGTATGACCAGAAGTGTGTGGACTGACACAGGGAAACGCAGGCTTCAGATATAGTAAATAATATAATTTATTAAGACTAACAATACAAACGCAGTGCAAAACTAAACATAAACACAGTGCAAACAAACTGAACCAAACCTTCAACAGATAACAAACATACAATACAAGAGTAGTCAGGCAGGCCGGGTCGGTAGCAAACGGGCAAACGGAGTACCAGGAGCAGGCGGGAGAGTGGTCAGGACTAGCCGAGGTCAGTACAGGCAGAGTTTAAGCAGAGTCACGACAGAAGTAACAGGATCAGGAAACCAGGGCCAAGCAAACAGTACAACAAGGCACTGACTGCAGGTCTGGCCATCCCTTAAATACACTACCTGCAATCAGCCCCAGGTGGTGGCTAATTGCCGGAGTGAGCCTCTGGTTGTCGAGAGCACACGCTGGCCAGTCCTGGTACTGCAACCCACAAGGCAGGTGAGTCCCACCATTATTGGCGAGTCCATTCCTGACACATGCAGATCACTCCCCTTGCTCCTGCCTGGCATTGCAGGTGCTTGGTGATGGGCTTTTCAGGTGTCCATAATTGACTTATGGGTCATGGTGAAAGTCCTCAGCCTTGAGTAAGCTACAAACTGCGACTGGGATCTTACACAAGGATACCCTCTTCACTCATGTTGGCTGTGTGGAGTATCTGACGTAAGGCTAGAATATGCAGCTAGTAAAGGTGGCTGCAAACACTTAGTGGGGCCCACCCAGGCCCGTCCAAGGCCCTCTGAGTTCCAAGTTTCACTTGCACAGGGTGACGGGGCACACTCTTTTCCCCAGCGGTGCACTTTTGGCTCAGCGTCTCTGCCCTGCTCAACTGTATACATGTACACAGTGGGGGCAGGCTGGCCAGTTGAAAGCAGTGAGGAGTAAAGTAATTGATGCACAACGCACTATTTAAATGTCATTTGTGCAAATGTCAGTTGAACTTTAAAGAAAACCTGTCAATAAGGCATGGAAGCTGATGTATCCTTCTGGAGTTTGAAGATGCAAGTTCTGCATATGTTAGTGATCATTTACCACAGTGCATATTATGAGCTCCATTACTGGCCTTTCTGGGTGAGTGATCCACTATGCACCATCAGGACAGTAGGAAGTCCCAGAATGTGCACCTGCAAACATTAGTTGGCACTTTCAGCTGCTGATTTTCATTCATAATTCATATTTGAATAAATACATAAGTAAGAAATAAATTTCTGGTGTGGCACTTTAATCTCAGATCTATTATTCAATATTAACAGGTAGATTTCTTTTCCCCAAGTTCTTTGGGCAAATGGTGTCAGGCAGGGTCTGAAGGCCACAGACATGAGGATTATTGTCCACCCAACCAACAATAATCTCCCCATGTCTTGAAGAGACATGAATTGCAGTTTTGAACTATTATAAGCCAGTGCAGAAAACTGATAATTTGCCTCTATTTCAAAACTCACCCATGCACCCCTTACGGATACATTTTGAAGGTACTATTATGTGCCAGCTTCTAAACAAGCAAGAATTGGTAGCATTTATAGATCGGGATGTAGCTTTTCTTGCATCTACTTTCACAATGGTCCTAATGCTCATTTCGTGCCTGCAACCACCATCTCCCTCTTCCTCTCCATCAATTTAACTGAAGATGTAGCTGTGCCTCTATATTGTAGTCTCAGTAATCTTGTCCTCTGTTCTTCAGTACTACTAACCCTGTTTCACATATTTCTTTTCTAGCAACTGCCTAGTGGCTGATCCTCACCTTGGGGAACCTCTTAGCTTCTGTGCCAAGATGGAACCAGGGCCCAAGAAAGCAGTGTATGTCTCCTTGCATGTTGGGTTATGTGAATCAGCATTTATGGACAAGTAAAGTAATGGATTGATCTTAATATTTTACTGTGAACTACAATAGACATTGGAATTGTGCATTGCTTGCATTAAGGTAAAAAAATGTTTTTAGTTTCCCTGTGCTCCCCCTTCGCTGTGTGAAGGGGAAAAACAGGGGAGAAGAGATTCAGCGCTAAGCATGGCTGCATCTCTTCTCCCCTCTCTTTCTCCTCACACAGGGACTGGAACAGCAGCAGTAGCCATTAGCTCTTACTGCTGTCAATCAAATGCAGTGAAGAGGAAGTGGGGGAGTGGGCTAAACCCTGCTGTGTGTGTCTATGGAGCACGGCTCCGTAGACACACAGGTTGGGAGCGAGCATGGGGCCTGTGTCCTCTAGCAAACTGCTTGCTATTGGGACACTCAAAGAAGAGGGGAAGCCAACATCGACAGCGGGGGACCCAGCAAAAGGAGGATTGGGGCTGCTCTGTGCAAAACCATTGCACAAAGCAGGAGAGCATAACATGTTTGTATTTGAGTTAAAAAAATTCAGACTTTCATAATACTAAGTCTCTGCTTCCTTTCAGCCCACCCTTTCCAGCTCTTTCTAAAATGACAATGTTAGCCATAACAAACACACATCTATTTCGCAATCTGAATCAAGATGCTCCCTCAATTTGAATCAAGATGCTGTTACTAAAGTGACTGTGCACTGCTAATTAAATTTATTATTTAGTATTTGTAGCTTCTAAAGCTAGCATAGAAATTTAAAGTAAATATATTGTGGTTTTACGTATAATTTCTTCTTTCTTTCTTTTTTATAGTCAGGACTAAACAAAACAGGCTTCTGTAAATGTTTTAAAGGCTTTCAGTTTGCTCCTTTGATGAAAGAAGCCCATTGTTTACATAGCTCACTCACTCATCACAGTGGCCAATGGTGTAGAACAAAGTTTAATCTCAAACAAATATATGCTCACGACTGTTCTGCTGTACTTCTTCAACAAACCCACAGAAGTTGACTTACTAAAGGATTTGAAAATGTTCTGATAAAATGGAGGAGTCACTTTAACTATCCAATCATGAGAAAACCAGCCTCATAGTGTTATGAGAATATTTAATGTTCATTTGTATGTAGCATTAATGCTGTAGGAACCACTGCTAATAAATGGTTCTTCCCCAATAGTACAGGGGCCGCCAATCACCCAAGCAATGGTCTGCACACTGCAGCTGTGTGGAACAGTCTAGGGGTTGTCTTTTAAGATATATTTGCTTAAAGAAACTTTGAATAGTGATGGGGGTTAGGGCATGAGATGCTCCAAAATACTTGAAACTCAATCATTAGAGTTCAATTCAATTTTTAGATAAACTTGAATGAAGAAAAGTCTATTTTCTCACAGCTGGGGACCATGGAGCAGGTTAAAGAATAGTCTGAGGCCTCACAGCAGGGGAACATGAGGCAGGTATCTTTGAAATCTGGTTACCTTGCACTGATGCACAACTTCTGGTACCCAGTACAGTTTCCAGAATGTTACACAGTCACATAAATCAGTTTAGGGTCTTTACCATCAAGTCCCCAGGACAGCTTCCACGTTGCAGCTTCCCCTGGACATGGCCCAGTGAGTGAGACAGCACCTCTCCAGACCAGATCTCTTTTGGTGAGGTTCAATAATCAGTTTTTAGCTGGGTCCATCCAGACCCTCAACCCTAACAACACTGAGGCCTCTAGAACAGCTGTACAGTTCCTCTGTTTCTGGATCCCTCCTGAGGAGAAGGAACCCTGCTCTTCAGTTTCCCAGACTATTTATCGCCATTCCAGCCCCCTACTGGACACTCCTCTCCAGAGATTGGCTGGCACCCAATAAGTATTCAGGCTGTTTGTTTTGCTCTTGAAGCTTCTTCTGTAGGCAGAGAGAAGTAATGAAACTCCCAGTTTATGGGATGATGAACAGGCCAGAACAAACAATTATTGTTCCCTTGATTACAGAGCCATGAACTACATCTACCTAGCATCCTATGTTAGGAGGGTGCGACAGCTGAAAAAATCATTGTACATGTAAAAAAAAACAGATACAAATACACAGTTTAAAACATGAAAAAACAATGTAAAAATTAAATCCAAAGCCACCATTGTTTTTTTTTATACCTGGATTGCAACATGAAACATGGTCAGTGTCACACAGCACCCCCACCTTCACACTGCCTTCTCTCACTTACATAGTCGCAGCAAAGGGACTTGTAGTTCTCAATGGAGCATAAGTGCAGTGACATCAACGCACTGGTAGTCCATTGACACTTCCTCCAGCCCTGTAGCTGATTGTTCGTACCCTGCTCTGGATCTGAGGTGGAGGAAGAGTCTGTAAAAGCCTGATCACTACACTTGGGATCCAGTGATCGTGGTTGCAATACTTTACAGGCTAAAATGCAAAAAATCATGCTTGTACATTTTTGCTATTTGCAATATGTTTTTTTTTTGTATTTTGTATTTTTTTTGCAAAATGTGGGATAGCCTTTATGCTAAGTAATAAAGCATTAATTTATATGGACTCCATTCCTCAATTTGTGTGGATGGGAAATGCTGCCATTCACCATGCAACACTAGGATGTACACTAGGGTTGACATCTCATCCCTTTAAAACCGAACACATGTTAATTACACAGCTTCTGAGGCTAATTTAATGCAGATAAGGCACTAAGTAAGTTTAATTACCACCTTAATCTGCCACGGAACCTGTGTAAATAATATGTGATTGGTTTTAAAGAAATGAGGTGGCAACTCTAATGTACACCACAGGCTGTTCAAACACCTAACTCTGAGAAACACTGCCTTACAACAGGAGGCCTTAAAACCACTATTTATGTCACTACTGACCTAAAATGTTTTTTTTAGTGATGAGAACTTTAGTTACAACTATGCTTTATATGCAGGATCAATTAGCCAGGGGCGGACTGACACCTCATGGGGCCCCCGTGCAATAGGGGATCATGGGGCCCTCTTGTCCTCACCCACATTCAAACCACACCCAAAAAAAGCCTATGAAAGGTACCAGGAGCATCTCATGGGGCCCCCTACTGACCTTGGGCCCTCAGGCAGTGCCCGAATGGTCAGTCTGCCCCTGGTCCCAGCAATCTATCATGTCAGATTTTGATCCTTCGGAAATGATAAACCCCCATTCAGGAAAAGCTTGATATCTCCATCTGCTCTGACTGCAATATATCTCAGTTTCTATTTCCAGTTAATGTAGGTTAAGTAAATTCAGGTCTTGCCTCTGCACTGTTTGCTGCACAGCGCTGTCAGAGAAAAGAAGACGTGGCTATGTTGTATCATCACAGCCCTGCAATGTCTTTCAGCAAACTGCTGGAAGCTACAAGGACATGGAGGAAGATATGTGGACAGAGGCAGGTAAACACTTCCACACGCCTGCAGCTAATTGTGAAGTGACTCAATGATCACATCATCCCAGGTGAGAGATATCACACAGGGGCTCCAGAGTCCACCAGTCTACAACTTAACCCTTCAAGCATTGCAAAAGGAGGGCCTCATAACGACACTGCTTAATTATCTGTACTGTATATTATTATTATTACTATTATTATTATTAATGTATTTAGAGATAGGGACCTGATTTGATCCACTCCAGTAAAGTCCTCTCATAGGTCCCTCTGTACGCTATAAAAAGCACTTGGCAAGAACTTTTACAATCATCATTGCATTGTGTTTTTAGAGCATGCATGTGCCTGGAGATGGCAAGCCTACGTTTATGTGTAGCCATTAGGGAAGGTTTTGACCTGCCA